CCAAAGTGTTGGTGAAGCGTCCGGCGGGATACCGGAGTCCTGGTCGCTGCTGGCACCTCCCGGACATAGGCAAGGAAGATTCAAAAACGGTTTAGGGTGTAGGGTTTAGGGTTTAGGGTTTAGGATTTGGGGTAGGGTTAAGGGTTTAGGGTTTAGGGTTTGGGTTTAGGGTTTGGGGGTTTCGGGTTTGGGGTCTACGGTTTAAGGGGCCACAAGGACTATAATAAGCTTTAGTCACGCACCCAAAACGCTTACACACCTGAGTGTAGCTAAAGCAACCAGAATCCCGGAATCGGCGAACTCCGACCGAAAAGCGTGAGCAGTGTGGGCAGTGTGGGCACCGCACTGGGCTCTTGTTCAGGATTAAACTAAGCCATGTTTAGGGGTTTATATAGGGGTTTAGGGGTTTAGGGGTTTACGGGTTTAGGGGTTTAGGGGTTTCGGACTAAGGGTTTGGGGGCTTAGGGTTTAAGGTTAGGGGTTTAGGGGTTTAGGGGTTTAGGGGTTTAGGGGTTTAGGGGTTTAGGGGTTTAGGAGTTTAGGGGTTTAGGGGTTTAGGGGTTTAGGGGTTTGGGGGTTTAGGGGTTTAGGGGTTTAGTTTGGCCTGGGGAGGGATATGCCCAGACCCGGAGCCTCCTATGTTTTGCGGCTTAGAGGGTTTAGGGCTTGGGGAAGTGTTGGGGGCTCAGGGTTCACGTGGTTTGGCCTTGAAAAGGCCGAAAACTTGCCTTGAACCACGAGTTTTTGGCCTTGAACCACGAGTTGTCAGCCTTGCCTTGAACCATGAACAGTTGCCCTTGAACCACGAACGATTGGCCTTGAACCACGAAGACATCGAAGCCCGAATCAACATATGATAGAGAGGGTTTCGGGTTTAGGATTTAGGGTTTGAGGGTTTGAAAAAGGGTATCGCTGGGCCCCTTGCATGCTGTAGAGCCGTTGCTTTGAAGTATGGATCTCGACTACCACCCTGAAGCCCTATAATCCCATCTGGGTACACCCTGAACCCTAAGCCCTAAACCCCTAAAGCCTCAGCCCGGAAACCTGAACCCCCAACCCCTAAACCCCAGCCGCAGCTCAGCACTAGTTTCCTGGAGAGCCGCGTGAGAGGCATCCGTCTCAGATGCTCAGAGGGCCATGAACTAGATCACGGAGGAGCCCAGGGTTCAGGGTTCAGGGTTCAGGGTTTAGGGTTTAGGGTTTAGGGTTTAGGGTTTAGGGTTTAGGGTTTAGGGTTTAGGGTTTAGGGTTTAGGGTTTAGGGTTTAGGGTTTAGGGTTTAGGGTTTAGGGTTTATAATAAGGGCTTAGGGTTTAGGATTTAGGGTCTGGATTTCGGTGCTTTCCCATCAGAACTTCACAACTCCACAATAGCTCAGAGCCTTCTGACTGCTGGACCCTGGAAGTCACGCCACGGCGGCATGTACCGGGCTCTTGCGAAGGAACTGCTAGACTGCTAGACCCAAGAGTAACCTGAAAAGAAAAGCGGTGCTTTTTTGGCTTCAAGTGGGCTTACAAGGGAACCTAAGCCCAAAAGGAAGAGTAAGGGCCTACTCTGGGTCCTGAGCAATGTGGTATCAATGGAGATTGAGTTCAAGTTCCTTACCAAGAACCTGGTGTCAGGGGACTCTCACCGTTCCATCCCCGTGCACCCGAATGCAAGCCGCATCGATTGCATCTGCAATCGCAGCTCAGATCTCCTCCCGTGGCAAGCACCCTGAACCCTAAACCTTGAACCCTAAACCCAAAACCCCAAAACCCTGAACCCGAAATCCTGAGCCCACATGCAGCATGCAACATAAAATGCGCCACTGGCTACCATCATGGGTAGCTCTGAGACATTCGGATGGGAACTGAGGCAACGTATGGTTTTTGCGAGCCTCCGGATGACCCAACTGCCCTGAGCTCAACCCCAGATTGAAAGGTTCAGGTTTTGGGGTCAAGGGTTAGGGCCCGGCGTCAAAGCAGCTGGATTTGTTCCGGATGGCGTTTCTTGGCATAGAGCCCACCGAAATCTCACTTTCAGGCTCAATCTGGAAGCTTCCGAAATTAAGGGTACCTTATTCGGGTCCTTATTATAACGGGATCCTACTATTTGGGGATCCGTGTTGGGGATCCCCTATCTTCGTAAACCTCCATCCGTTTTTGCCCGATTTGGGTTCGCCTTGCAATGCCCACAGCAAGGCTTCCTGGCTTCCTTGGCCTTGCAAGGCTGCAAGCGGGAGTATGTGTGGGCGCCCTTGAGGCCCGGAATGATGCCAAACCCTCAACCCTAAACCCCACACCCTAAACCCCAAACCCCAGACCCTAACCCCTAAAACCCTCAAACCACCACCAAAAAACCAAAAAAAAATATAAATTAAAAAAACAAACCCAACCCCCTACTGGTTACATCCACGCGGCTCTAGAAACACAAAAAAGGAGAGTCTAAGGCCCTAAACCCTAAACCCTAAACCCTAAACCCGAAACCCTAAACCCTAAACCCTAAACCCTAAACCCTAAACCGAGGGAACCCTAGAAGGGACCCTTAATCTTCTTCCCCTATATAGCTCTTGAATAGTCCCTATGCACCTTAAGTAGCCCCCAAATAACCCCCTGAAGAGCCCCTAAACCCTAAACCCTAATCCCTGAACCCTAAAATCCCTGAACCCTAAACCCTAAACCCTAAACCCTAAACCCTGAACCCTAAGTCCCCTATAAAGGTCCCTCCTTGAGGCCCTTAAAGAGTGTAGAGTAGGCGCCTAGACTGAGAAGCGTGCGGCCGTGAAGGCGTCCTAAGGTTTGGGATTTAGGGTTTGGGGTTTAGGGTGGAGGTTTTCGGGTTTACGGGGTTTGGGGTGTTTAGCGTCTAGGACTTCAAGGTTCTGCACACACTGCAGCCTTGCCAGGCCGTTGATTCCGGATCTGCCCCTGCCCTCAATGAGATCGCGGCTGTGACTGTGCCGTGATGGCAGCTTCGACCCTAAACCCTAAACCCTAAACCCTAAACCCTAACCCTAAACCCTAAACCCTAAACCCCAAACCCTAAGCTTGGACCTATTATAACCTAACCCTAAACCCTAAAACCGGGGCTTCAGTCAACTTCGCCCTGAACTCTCAACCCGACACCCCAAAACATTGTGTGCTAAGGGTTGAGGTGGAGGGCGCAGGAGTCCTAGTCTTGAGAGCTCCGAAACGACCTTCTTGGTTTTAGGGTTTAGGGTTTAGGGTTCAGGGTTTAGGGTTTAGGAGTTAGGGTTTAGGGTTTAGGGTTTGAACCCCAACTAGGCCACAGCCAATGACGTGCTTCATGGGCAGATCCGTCTCACAGGCCCCCTCCCAATAGCTACCCAGGATCCACGGACGTGCTGCAAGGACCTGCGTGCTTGCAGTTGAGGGTTTAGGGTTTGGGGTTTAGGGTTTAGGGTTTCGGGTTTAGGGTTTAGGGTTTAGGGTTTAGGGTTTAGGGTTTGTTCAGGGGCCATTAGGGCCGCTAAAGGCTGGAGACGTTGTGAAACAAGATGTTGTAGCAAGACTGCACTATGCCACGCGATTCTTGCCATGCCCTGCCAAGCTTGAACTTCACCATCTAGTTCTGGGCCTGGAATCTTCCCTAAACCCTGCACCCTAAACCCTAAACCCTAAACCCTAAGCCCTAAACCCTAAACCCTAAACCCTAAACCCATCTTAAGAACCCCCACACGGGACGGGCTCTCCCGCAACGTGCCATGGTCAACTGCAGCAATAACCCTAAACTTCCCCAATCACCCCCCTAAGCCCTAAACCTACACCCGAAGGCCTAAACCCTGCACCCCAAAGGGGTTCCCACGTGAGCTTGTTTGAAAGTTAAGTTAGGGTTGTCAGGCATCTTGTACAACACAAGGCAACATGTGAGCGACGGACAAAATCACGTTCCACAGCGCGAGGTCGCGGAATACCATATTGTCGCTTTACGTGGGGCCCATATCGCTTTACATACTATGGGACTCCGGATACATGTGTGTGTGAACGTGCCAACTAATGCTATCGCTTTAGGTGGGGCCCATATCGCTTTTCATGGTTTAACAACTCGTGTCCACCGTAGTACTGGCTTAGACAAACATAATTTAGGCAGGCGCTCATGTGTGTGTGTGTGTGTGTCAATCTGGTTCACGAGGCGGCTTCCCAAATAGTTTCTGCACAGGTCATAGGTCAAACTCGCTTGCGTTTTCCCACGGATTGAAACAGCAGAAACTTGGGCTGCGCACGGATGAAGCAAATTCTGCCGAGATGTGGGCAAAGATTGGATCGCGGCAGCAAGAAAACGCTTGTGCTTCAGGTGCAGGTGCCTCGGAAGTTTCTACAGCAAACTCCCAACAGTTGATACTTTCATTCCCTCATACCCCAAGAGGGTCACCAAAGGGAATCCCAGCACTAGTGGTCCCCAGCGTGCAGGCTTAGGGTTGAAGATTTCAGACTTTAACGTTTAGGGTTTAGGGTTTAGGGTTTAGGGTTTAGGGTTTAGGGTTTAGGGTTTAGGGTTTAGGGTTTAGGGTTTAGGGTTTAGGGTTTAGGGTTAACAAGAAGAAGCTGAAGGCTGGTTTCTTTCGTCTCCGCTGATGCAGAAGTCGCTAGGTCTGTGCCCTCAGGGCACAAGTGCCTCTCAGGCACCTGCAAAACCTGCACTCCGAAGCCGGGCCTTAGGGTAGGGGTCTAGGGTTAAGGCTTTAGGTCTTAGGGTCTAGAGTTTTAGGGTTGAGGGTTTAGGGTCTAGGGTCTAGGGCATAAGCCCCAAAACTGCCCTAAGCCCAAGACTGCCTTCAGCCCTAAACCCTAAACCCTAACACCCTAACACCCTAAACCCTAAACCCCAAGCCCTTAAACCCCAAAAACCTGAACGCCAAACCCTAAACTATCCGTAGGGTAGGGATTAAGGCGTGGCCCAAGGTTGATCCCGCACCAGCTGGAAAGGAGCAACCACTTCCTACGAGCTCGACGTTCAGGAGAAGCCGAGAGCTTCGTGGACAAGCGTGGGCAAACGAAGTCAAAATCGAATCTCGATCAAGTCGTCTTTGCCTGCGAGCTCGGACAACCGCTTGCAGCCTGAGGGGTCCCCTGCCAAGCCTTGCTGCAGGAAGGGCGGGATTGAGCTGTTCCTCGCAAAGTCGGCTGCAATCCAGCCCCGGGAATTCTCGATCTCCAGCTTGGCACCGGCTGCGATCAGGACCGCGGCGGCCTCGTATTGAGCCGACCGCATGGCATGCATCAAAGGGGTGCTGCCGCGCAGATGGTACGCCCAGGCTGACAGGTGCGTGCGCCGTCCGACGCGGTGCTGCAGAGATGTGGCTCCGACGAGCAGCTGGCCCAGGAGAGTCATGTCGCGCTCCACAACCACTTGGTAGTCGACATCCTTAGTAGCCCAGTAACCATATTATAACAAGGGCACCCTTGCTGGGGGGGGGTGGTTACTTTATAAGGGAACCCTAAACCCTAAACCCTAAACCCTAAACCCCTGGGCTACCAAGCAGCGGCCCTCAGGTCAAGGAGGCGCTGGATGAGCTCCGGCGAGCCGCCGCGAAAGGCGGCGGCCTGGGCCAAGGCCTTGGAGAGCTCCAGGCAGTTTGGCTGGGCTTGTGCAACCTGGTAGAGGGTTTAGGGTTTAGGGTTTAGGGTTTAGGGTCTAGGGTTTAGGGTTTAGGGTTTAGGGTTTAGGGTTTAGGGTTTAGGGTTTAGGGTTTAGGGTTTAGGGTTTAGGGTTACTGGGCTTGCGCAACCTGGTAGCCCAGGAACCATATTACTGATAAGGGCGCACCCTTTTTAAGGGAGTTGGTCACTTGATAAAGGAACCCTTGAACCAAAAAAAGAGAGAAAAGGGTACCACTGGGCTACCAGGGCAACCAGCTCTTCCAGGGCGGCCGGGGCGTGAGCGCTGGCTGCACTCATCAAGTTGGTTAGGCCAACAAAATTCCTGGCCAAAGGGTTGCCGCCTGCTTCGCAAAGCAGCCGGATGCCCTCTGCGTTGTCGGCAGCGGCTGCTGCGGACATGGCTGGAACCAATCTGCCTTCCAAACTGGCGCTTGCTGCGATGAGAACCTGAGCTGCTTCGTTGTGCTTGTGGAGAACCTTACTTGTCCAGTAACCTGGGGGAACTAAAGGTTAACCTTTGGGATTATAAGGGGATTATATTTCCCCAAAAAGGTTCAAGGTTTCCTGTTCTTTCCTGGGGAACGGCGAGGTCTAAGGCCGACGTCCACAGCGGAATGCCCAGGCCGGGCTCGTCCTTTGCAGTCCTCTGGTTCACAGAGGCCCGGAGCTCCAGGAGACCTTGGATCACCTCCAGGGTTTAGGGTTTAGGGTTTAGGGTTTAGGGTTTAGGGTTTAGGGTTTAGGGTGTAGGGTGTAGGGTTTAGGGTTTAGGGTTTAGGGTTCTTGGATCACCTCTGCGTTGCCGGACAAAGCTGCGTAGTGCAAGGGCCACCAACCTGCACTGTCGGATGCATCGACCTTCCCAAGGCCGTTCTGGAACAGAAAGCGCGACAGTGCGTTCGGAGCCTCGTTGGGGAGGACGCCATGCACGGGCTCGATCTCCAACCCCCGGAGGTGGACGCTCTGCAAGTTGAGGTGCCGCCGGAAGGCAGGAAAGTCTCTTGTCCGTAAACAGTGCATCAGCTTGTGTGTGAGGATGCTCCGCATCACTGGGGCCAGCTTTTGCCGGTCCTCTTCCACTGTAAACCTGCCTTCCCCAACGGAACCTGAAGGAAACGAAATTGCCGTGCCTACCAGCTCCATGCGAGTAGTGCCCTGGATCAGAATCCAGGTGCTGTCCGGAGACAATTCACGAGCGGCCCGCTCCACTCTGCACCACCCACGCTCAGCCCATGAACGCGGGCTCAGCACTTTCTCTTCCGAAGCACGATCAAGAACCGGGCACAAGGCCAAGAAAAACTTACACTTCGCCACATAGGCTGGGATGCTGTTAATGGCGTTGGCTTGCTGGCTCCCGTCGCTGTTGTCAGAGGCGTGGGACTCGCGGTGCTCTGATTGCGGAACAGAGAAATAATCGTACCAAACGAACAAGGCGCGGGATTGAAAGTCCTTCGTCGGAAGGGGCCTGGCGCTGCGCACGTGCTGTTCGGTCGCTATATCGAGAAGCACGTGCCCTCCGCTGCCCAGAAGGTGCTTCAAGGTATCCTGCAGGACACTCATCTGCCTGAATTCTGGGTCTGGGTGTTGCCTGGCAACCCACTGATGTGAAACAAAGGCAGCATTGCCCATCGCACTGCCATCGAAGACGGTGAGCTCGCCCTTCGCCTACAAAGATCAAAGTTGACAGCATGATACCAAGCCCGGCCTACCCAAGCAATACGAAAAGTAGACTCCAAAGCCCCGGCAAGAACAAAGAAAGAACGGATTCTCGAAGATGTGAGCTGAGCCTCCTACTCAATCAAGCTCTGAGTCCAAAGGCCAGTCTCGGTTTCAGCCTTTTCAAGAATCCTCAAAAAGGGTCATTCACTAAGAACCAACAGGCAACAACCAGCAACAATAGTAGGGGTAGGCCAAGGCCGGCTTGGTTTCTCCTGTCAGCGGCTTTCGCGACCCCGCGATGACGTCTCAACTACCCTTCCTGGATAATGGTGCAAGCAACTGCGACAACTCAGAGTACAGCAACCAACAACCACTTACCAACAATCACTTACCAACAACCACTTACCAACAACCACTTCCCGACAACCACTTACCAACAACCAAAAACCAACAACCAACAACCAACAACCAACAACCAACAACCAACAACCAACCACCTTCAACCAACAACCAACCGCCAACCGCCAACCGCCAACCACCAACCACCAACCACCAACAACCAATCGCCAACAACCAACCACCACCAACCACCAACAGGCTTGAGTTAGTTTGAGGGCTTGGCAGGCATGAACATCGGCTTGATGGTCGAGTTCTAGATCTTCGTACCCTAGACTCTAGACCCTAAACCCTAAACCCTAAACTACTCGGCCTTCAGCTCTTCGTGCGGCTCTATCTTCGTCATCTCCAGAAGCAACTCGACGGCCACCGTGTACATTGGGAAAAGCATCGAAGCCTGGGATGAACGTTTAGGGTTTGGGGTTCAGGGTTCAGGTTGAGGGTTCAGGGCTCAGGGTTCAGGGTTCAGGGTTCAGGGTTCAGGGTTCAGGGTTCAGGGTTCAGGGTTCAGGGTTCAGGGTTCAGGGTATAGGGTTGGGATGGTTAGGGTTCCCTTTAAAGGGATGGTTAATGTGATGGTTAGGGATCCATCCCTTTAAAGGGATGGTTATAGGTATGGTTGGGGGTTTCTTGAAAGGGATGGTTATAGGGATGGTTATTGGGTTCCCTTGAAAGGGATGGTTATTGGGAGAAGCATCGGGGTGCATGTCTTCGGCCCAAAATGCAGATCCAAACGCCTCGAATTTCGCAATTCCCCCCCCCCCTTCCCCCCCCCACCCGCCCACCGTTAATGGTGCATGGTTCATGGTTAACTAGACCCGGGAGTACCCTAGGAATAAAAGGGTACCCTGTAAAAAGAAAAAAGGTGCCTACTCCCGATCCTAGTGAATCATAACAAACAAATCTTGGAACCTGCAGTTCCTGACAGCGGCCTTGGACCTTCACCTGTTATCAAATGCCCTGGAAGCTCTGAGCGCGGGCTTAGGGTTTAGGGTTTAGGGTTTAGGGTTTGGGGTTTAGGGTTTAGGGTGTAGGGTGTAGGGTGTAGGGCTTAGGGTTTGGTGCCGGTTTCCCTAAGATGCAAATTTCAAGTTCACCAACAAGCAACAACCAGCAACGCACAGCCAGCAACCAACAAACAGCAACCGGCAACCACTTACCATTTATCAACAGCCACCTACCACCAACCAATAACCAACAACCACTTACCAACAACTGCCACCAACCACCAACCACCAACCACCAACCACTTACCAACAACCGACAACCAAAGACCATAGTAGGGGTAGGCAGGTGGGTTTAGGCTTGACGGTTTGGGGTTTGGGGTTGAGGGTTTGGGGTGTAGGGGCTGGGTTTAGGGAGTAGCGTTCGGGGCTCAGGGTTTAGATTTTACGGTTCAGGGCTTAGGGCAATTATAGGGTTTGTTAATGTAGGGCATCTATACATATATATATATATATAGATATATGCTCATATATATATATATATATATATACTGTGTACACCCCCACTCACCCCTCCTTGCCGTGCAAAAGAATGCCAAGGGGCGCCAGTGCCCTCCGGCAGCGACTTCGCATAAAGCTCCAGCGCTGTTGGGGACTTCCCCGACTTGCAGCAAGGCATGTCGACTTGCGACGCTTATTTGGACGCACACTCCGTACTTGTTTCTGAGCCTCCGGCTGCGAAGGTCAAATTAAGTCGGCCAAAACGCGGAGAGCAGCAAGCAATTACTTCTGGGTCCTAATTTTGAGCAATGTCACCCCAACCCTAACAACCATCCTACCCAATATCGAAGCTCCAACCTAACCCACGCAATATCGAAGCTCAAAGTTCATGGAGTTTACTGTAGCAGTCTCGGTGGGTTGCATCGCCATGCCTGACCAAAAGCTCCTCCGTGCTCCAGTTCAGTACTTTTCTGTTATCAAAGGTTGGGATGCTCCCCCTTATAACTAAGAGTCCTTAATCGGGATTATAATAGGGGGTGCAAAATCCCCATTAGGGAGACTGTTAGCATAAAGGGGGAACCGCTCTGGCGCCGGAGCCACACCACCTAGACCCTATAAGCCCTCTTTGTCCTGAAGCTGCCCCGGAGAAAAAAACAAAACAACAAACTTACGAACGCCCCCCAAGGCCCTGTGCCCCTTAAGACCTCCTAAGCCCGCCCTCCCCCCCCCCTAATGCCAGCCACCCTAGGCTCTCCCAGACCCCAATTCCCCTAAACCCAACCCAAAGCCCTAAACCATAACCACGAACCCTAAACCCTAGACCCCCTAAAACCTAAACCCTAAACCATACATCCTAAAACCCCTACACCCTAAACCCCTAAACCATAAACCCCTGAACACAAAGCCCCTATCATCCCCTGAGCTCCGAACACCCTAACCCCTAAACCCTAAACCCGAAAACCCTAAACCCCAAACCCAAAAAAACCTAAACCCTAAACCCTAAACCCTAAACCCCCCCCCCCCCAAAAAAAAAAAAAAAAAAAAAATCGTCGTCTCTGGCCTCAATCCAGCAGCCGGGGCCTTGCCGTGCGCCGTGCAGCCCATGGAGCAACGGCGCTGCCAACTGGGTTTAGGGTTTAGGGTTTAGGGTTTAGGGTTTAGGGGTTTAGGGGTTTAGGGGTTTAGGGGTTTAGGGGTTTAGGGTTTTAGGGTTTAGGGTTTAGGGCCTAAAGTTTAGGTTTAGGGTATTTAGGAAAAGGGGTTGAGGGTTTAGGGTACTTGGGTATTTAGGGTTTAGGGCTCAGGGCTTATCGTTTATTTGGGTTTAGGGTTTATTAGGGTTTCGGGGTTTCGCGTGATGGAGGGTGTAGGGTTTAGGGTTTACGGTTTAGGGTTTAGGGTTTAGGGTTTAAGGTTTAGGGTTTAGGGTTTAGGGGTTAGGGGTTAGGGGTGTAAGTGTAGGGTTAGGGTTTAGGGTGTAGGGTCTAGGGGTGTAGGGGTTTAGGGTTTAGGAGTTTAGGATTTAGGTTTCGGGTTAGGGTTCAGGGGTTGGTAGTTTTGGGTTTGGTAGCGTCTGGTTTAGGCTTCAAGGGTTAGGCGTCTGGGCTTTGGGTTTAGTAGTCCATAAGTACGATGTTGGGTTCTTCAGGGTTCCCTGAAGTGTTACCTTTGGGACAGGGGCTGTAGGGTTGATTGCCACCACCACCTTTTTTTGCCACCACGACACTTTCCTCCCTTCGCTGGCTTTCCACCCAACCCTTCTGGCACCACTTCCTCGACCACGCCCGCGCTGCTTGCCTCTACCCTTATTGTTAAACCCTAAACCCTAAACCCTAAACCCTAAACCCTAAACCCTAAACCCCTAAACCCTAAACCTGATTGACTGTGGGGTGGGCAGAGCGGCCGAACCCAGAGTTGACAAGGAGGCTCTTTGCCGCTGGGGACAATGGCTGCTGTCTCGATCAGCAGGCTGTGCTCCCCGAGCGATGGGTTGGGTCGAGGATGGATAGGGTTGATAGGGTCTTCTAGCAGGTTAGACGGTTTAGGGTTCAAGGCTAAGGAGGTTTGAGGGGGACTTCATGTTTAGTGCTCAGAGTTGAGGGGCTGAGAGTGCAACTAAGAATGTGCTTCATCCCTAAACCCTAAACCCAAAGCTGAACCACGCCTTGTTTTGAAGCAAAACTAAGAGGACTATCTGGATCGCCAGAACTAGGGTACTTGTTTCTAAACCAAGCCCTAAGTCTTTAAGGTTTGGGGTTTAGGGTTTAGGGTTTAGGGCTTAGGATTAGGTTTAGGGTTAAGGGTTTCAGGCTTGGGTTCAGGGTTTCGGGTTCAAGCTGAGGTTTGGGGTTTAAGATTTAGGATTTAGGATTTAGGATTTAGGATTTAGGGTTTAGGGTTTAGGATTTAGGGTTCAGGGTTCAGGGTTCTTAGGGCCTTTTATGGTTTGGGGCTGGCGCCCGAGAAGTTTATGGTAGAGGGCTTCGGGGTCCCTGGTCAAGGGTTCGAGGGAAAACGCCACCAAGGGATTCCGGCTCAGGCTGTCACTTGTAAATACAAGGCACCAAGTGAGGCGTCCAAAAGCAAGGTTAAGGGTTTAGGGTTTAGGGTTTAGGGTTTAGGGTTTAGGGTTTAGGGTTTAGGGTTTAGGGTTTAGGGTTTAGGGTTTAGGGTTTAGGGTTTAGAGTTTAGGGTTTAGGGTTTAGGGTTTAGGGTTTAGGGTTTAGGGTTTAGGGTTTATGACCACTCTCCAATGGCACCACCCATCGTCCATCCGGTAAAGGTGTTTCTGGACTACCGCGTGTAGTTCTGGGTCCAGGCGGCCTGGAAAAGGGTGGATATCGCCTAAGCAGGCCGGGTGGGAATTTAGGGTTTAAGGGTAAACCCTAACCCGAAACCCAAACCACTACCACTCCAACAGAATAAGGCCAAAATAGTAGGAGCCAAGAGGCTCGCAGGCACAGCGGCACGTGGCAGGGTAGCGGGGGCCTCGAAACAGGCAAGATGTACACAGTCTCTGCGGTTTAGGGTTTAGGGTTTTGGGCTTTGGGTTTAGGGTTTAGGGTTTAGGGTTTAGGGTTTAGGGTTTAGGGTTTAGGGTTTTGGGTTTAGGGTTTTGGGTTGAAGGGT